ATCTATATTTATGAGGAATATTGGTCTATAGTTTTCTTTTTTGTTGTATCCTTTCCTGGCTTTGTTATTAAGGTGATATTGGCTTTGTAGAATGAGTTAGGAAGTATACCATCCTTCTCAATGGTGTGGAATAGTTTCTGTATTATAGGTATGAGTTCATCTTTGTATTTTTGGTAGAACTGGCCTGGGACTTTTCCATTTGGGGAGGTTTTGAATTACTGCTTCTATTTCTGAGCTTGAGATCGGTCTGTTCAGGAACTGTGTTATCTCCTGGGTGAATTTAGGGAGGTTGTTTGAATGCAGGTATTTATCTATTTTGTCTTCCTTCTGTAGTTTTGGGGCATATACTTTTTTATAATAGTCAAATATAATGTTTTGTAGTTTTGTATTTCTGTGGTGTCTGTTGTGATCTCTCTGTTTTCATTTCCTATTGAGTTTATTAAAGTCCTTTCCCTTTGAGTCCTTGTCAATCTAGCAAGAGGGCCATCAATTATGTTTATCTTTTCAAAAAAACCGTCTGATTTTGTTGATGTTTAGTATAATTACCTTGTTCTCCATTTCATTACTTTCTGCTTTGATTTTTGTTATTTCTTTTCTTCTACTAGGATTGGAAATTGTTTCCTCCTCTTTTTCCAGTTCCTTGAGGCTATTCATTATGTTTTCAGTATCTAAGCTTTCGGCTTTTTGGATGTGAGCATTATTTTCTATTAGTTTTTCTCTCAGGTAAGCTTTTGCTGTATCCCACAGGTTTTGGTAAGAAGTATCACCATTATCATTTTGTTTGAAGAAATTCTTGATTTCCCTCTGAATTTCTTCCTTAACCCAATATTTTTTCAATAATAGATAGTTTAGTTTCCATGATTTTGTGAGGCGTTGAGTGTTTCTATAGAATTGAACTGTAATTTTATACCATTATGGTGAGAAAAGATACAAGGTATAATTTCTATTTTCTTGAATTTTTTGAGATCTGATTTGCGGCCTAGGATGTGGTCAGTTTGGGAGTAGGATCCGTGGGCTGCTGAGAAAAATGTAAATTCAAGTTTATTTGGATGGAATGCTCTATAGAGATCAGTCATACCTTTTTGATCAAGGGCTTTGTTCAGGTCCATTATTTCTTTGTTTATTTTCTGTTTGGAGGATCTATCCAGATCATCAGTGGAGTGTTGAAGTCCCTTGCTACTATGGCAATGTTGTGTAACATGGTGTTTAGATTAGACAATGTTTGCTTTAAGTAATTGAGTGTTCCTATATTGGGTGCCTAGATATTAAGAATTGTTAAATCTTCTTGTTGGATCTTCCCTTTTACCATTATAAAATGGCAATTTTTATCCTTTTTTACTTTTGCTATTTTAAAGCTTATGCTATCTGCAAATAGTATAGCTACCCCAGGTTTCTTTTGACTTCTGTTTGACTGGATGATAGTTTTCCATCCCTTGACCTTCAGCTGGAAGGCATCTTTGTGGGTTAGATGTTTTTCCTGTAGACAGCAGATACTGGGCTTGTGAATATTTATCCACTTTGCCAGTCTATGTCTCTTCAGGGGACAGTTTAAGCCATTTACATTTATTGGAAGGATGGAAACTGGAGGAAGATTACCATTCATATTGTTGGGTTGAGACTTGTTGCTTTGTTTTACTCCTTGAGCCATCATCATGTAGTTCAAGATCTAAACTTTAATTCTTTGAAGATTTTACTTTGAGGAGTGTCTATTGCCCTGTTCAGTTAGAAATGCAGGTCTGAGAACTTCCTGTAAGGATGGTCTGGACTTTGCAAATTTCTTCAGTGATTGCCTGTCTGAGAAGGACTTTATTTCTCCCTCATAGATGAAACTTAATTTTGCTGGATAAAAAATTCTAGGTTGGGCTTTGTCCTATTTTAGAAGATTAAGGATAGACACCCAATCCCTCCTGGCTTTTAAGTTTTCAGATGAGAAGTCTGCTGTTATGCAGATAGGCTTACCTTTATAGGTAATTTGCTGCTTTCGTCTCGCTGCACAGAAAATTGTTTCTTTCACGTTTACTTTGGTCAGCCTAAAAACCATGTGACGAGGTGATTGCCTTTTCATGTTGAGTCTCCCATCAGTTCTGTGTGGTTCTTGTATTTGGATATCAATATTTCTGACCAGGCCTGGCATATTTTCTTCCAGTATTCCGTGAAATAAGTTTTCCAGCCCTTGTGAATGTTCTTCTCTTCTGGAATCCTGATCACCCTGAGATTTGGCTTTTTTATGTAATCCCACAATTCTTATAAACTTTGGTCTTGTCTCTTGTTTCTGTGTTCCATTTCTTCCATTGATTTGTCTGGAGCAAAGGCATAATCTTCATGTTCTAAGATTCTTTCCTCTGCATGGTCCATCCCCTTCTTTAGGCTTTCCTCTGTATTATGGAGATCCTTGATTGTTTCCTTCATTGCCAGAATTTCTGTTTGTTTTTTCTGGATAATCTCAATTTCTTTGGAGAAGCTTTTATTCATTTCCTGTTTTGTTTTGTTGTTTCTCTATTTTGTGAATCTATTTTCTCTTCAATTCCATTTAGTTTTCTAGCAATCGATATTCACAAATCTCCCTCCGTCAGTTACTCATATCCTGTAACTTGGTGTCAGATGATGGAGAATGAGTACTTTGTTTTGGAGGTGACCTTTCTCTCTGCTCCTTCATGTTTCCTGTGATATTTCGCTGGTTCTTTCTCATCTGGGTGCTTTATCAAGGATCGGAGGTGCAAGGACTCAATTATGATCTAAAATCTGGAATTCCGGAGGGACGATTTGGCAGATCTGGGGATATTTGCTCTGGGTCTGTAATGTCTTAGAGAAGTTTGAGTGTATTGGGTTATCTTTGACCTGTTGTTTTTCCATCATATTTTAATAGAGATTAGTGAGATTGGATCCCTTGTTTAGACTCCCTGGAATTATATTCCTCTTGTGAGCGTGACTCCCCTATCAACTACTAGTATGAAGAGAGAGGCACTGTGATGACTTATGAGTTTATTCTCTATTTTTGTTGCTTGTGGTTTACGTGGAAAGATCGGTTATCAAGCTATTCCAATACCTACGTAATGAGCTCTAAACCCTTAAATGTGATATACAGGACTCTCAGCCTTTGGGGAGTACCGTGCCTCTCCCAGGGGATCCTTGGGCCTTGTTACCTATTTAGTTGGGGTGAGATAAGCAATAGGTATCAGCAAACCTAAGAGATTACTTCAGAGGTTGCTTGATCTGTGGCTAGAGGTGAGCTACTAAAAAGATATTCAGAGAACATTTGCTGCATATGTATAGCAGCTCCTGGTGGAAAGTGTCTTTTGGTGCAATTTTTAGGGATTCTCATTGAGATTTTCCTTCTCAGAACACAAGCCTATAATTTGGCAACTGCCTGGATACCAAGGACAAGCCCTTGTATTCTGCTTTTAACAGATGATCCAAACCAACTCGCTGTAGTAGGGTATCAACTCTTTTTACTCCACCCCTCCAAGGATGGGGTTTATCTGGTTGGTGTGAAGTAAAAGACTGAGTGCTGTTGAAGAGGCCTTGCCCAGGGGCGCTGAGGGACACAGAACAGAGAGCAACCTGCCTGGATGCTCTGCTCCTGCATATGAGGGGTCAGGCCCTTCCCTACAGAATACCAGAGGCCTGGTCGCAGACAAAGACCTTCCACATCCCAGCCAGTCATAGCCCTAAAAGCAGACTCCCTCACCACTGTGCACTTCCAGAGCTAGTGGCTTATCCTTTGGCTGAAGGCCCTGTCTACCAAGGCCCTGTCGCCTCCAGGAGATGGGCTTGAGTCTCAGCTTGGGTAGCAGTCTAAAGAAGCTATTACTAAACCCTTTCAGGGGAGGGATCTAGGCCTTTGGCAAAAAACAGGCCAGCAGTGGATACTAAGCAATAGGAGATAACAGTCCAGCCTCTGGTTTCAGCTTGAATAATGGCTTGTTTCACTACTCCACCCAGGGGTGTAGTCTGTAGAGAAGCACCTAGCTCAAAACCCCAGAACGTGCCTGGGGGTACGGTTGTCCCAAGTCAGAGCTGGAAAATCGCTCTCTTTCCTAGATCCACCCTGCCAGGGCAGGTTCTGTTCATTAAGCGCAAAACAGAGGCAGCTGGATGGGATGGGGGACTGCCTGACCTCACCGGGGGACATCGCCTGGGGAGCAATCTCTCTCTCTCTTCCCTCCCCTCCCTGGAGGGACTTCAGTCACTGGGGTCTGCCAGGAGGCTTCCCCAAGGAGCTTCCCCAAGCTCCTTCCCTCTTCAGCTCCCTCACCAGTGGCGCTTGAGCTTCCAAGGACTACTGAGCAATTCCGCCAAGGGGTGAAAACTTTCCCTTTTCCGAGCGTCCCCAGTGGAGCTTGAGCCGCTACAGCCCCCTGGGGAGGATACGTGGAGGATCGAGCTCATTCCCTCCTCCGCTCCCTCACTGACAGCGCTTGAGCAGCTGGAGACCACTGAGAGCTTCCACCGAGGGGTGAAAACTTTCCTTTTTCCACACATCCCCGGCAGAGCTTGCAAAATATTTTTTTTTTTTTAGAGACAGTCTCACTCTGTTGCCAACGTTAGAGTGCTGTGGCATCAGCCTAGCTCACAGCAACCTCAAACTCCTGGGCACAAGCGATCCTCCTGCCTCAGCCTCCCAGGTAGCTGGGACTATAGGCATGCACCACCATGCCCGGCTATTTTTTACATATATGTATATATATTTTTTTCAGTTGTCCAGCTAATTTCTTTCTGTTTTTAGTAGAGATCGGATCTTGGTCTTGCTCAGGCTGGTCTCGAACTCCTGAGCTCAAAGGATCTGCCCACCTCGGCCTCCCAAATTTTTAAAATTTAAGTTATCTTAGATTGAAAAGCCATACATGTATATTAGAATTTGTGGATTCAAATTTACTAATTGTTTACATACAAAGCTCTGATTTACTACAATGTCTAGTTGTGGCTTAATTGTTAATAGAGTGTTGTGGTTGACAAACATTGTGTTTTGGAATGTAGATAAAATTTATTTCTATATTTAGAAAATGAAGAATTTGAAAAGCCAAGACTTCTGTGGGCTCTTTACTTCAATATGAGAGATTCTTCAGACATCAGCAGAAACTGTTACAATGATTTACCATCCAACGTTTATGTCTGCTCTGGCCCAGACTGTGGTTTAGGAAATGATAATGCAGTGAAACAGGTAAGGCAGTGGTGTTCCTCAGTTTTGTCTTAAAAGGTTGGTGTAGCTGAAGATGCATATACAAATACATTCCTGTCCTTGATAGGAAGAAAAAAGCAGAAAATATTTTTTTGAGGCATAAGTCTAAACTTTTCACAGGTAAAGTTGACACATATGTCGATTGAGTCAATAAATGGGTAATTTAACATTGTTCTCAGATCACAGATGGAACTTTCATTCTCACCAGTGGCAAGGATCCTATAGTCACAAATGACCTTGTTGAGCCTTTAATCTATTTTTTAGTCATAGCAGCAAGGCTATGACTATGACCATGATCCAGACATATACAGTTTTTTGCCAGAATTCTTCAGAGTCTAATGGTAATCCTGGATAATCACATGTAGCCAGTGACACCAAACAAAAGCAGGAAGTCACATCTCATCCATCATTCACTCTGTTAGTGTAATAGGAATCCAAGTTGGCTCAATGTATGCATTTATGATTTAATCAAATCATTTTTACTTTGATGTTCCAATTTTTTGCAAGGAGAAATTGCAAACTAGTTTTTAGCCAGGTAACTTAGTTTATTTTTATCTCTGAATGAACTTAATTTTTTCAACCAAAGTGTAAGGCCTTTTAAATAAGGGCTTATAAGCTAAACTGCATCATAGATTATAGTTAAGGGATAATTTTATCATGAGGTAATTTGCTTCCTAAGAAGATACCCTTCAGGGATAAAGTGTTATCATAGTAGAAAACAGTATAATACTAATTTTGGTGCTAATTATTATGTGCTATTAAATGTAAGTAGTTAGAAATGTGTTATATAGCTTTTAACCTCATATTTCAGTTTTGGGAAAAGTTATTATAATGTCTACTTTAAAGAGCATCAATAATATTTATTGCAGTTTATTCAGATAAACTGCATTGAAATTTTAATATATTTTGCAATTAGTCCAATCAGTAATTGATGATTTCTGTTTTCCAAATGAAGAATATTATCTATAAAAGCTCTCAAAACTTCACCTAGGTTTTGTCTGTGTAGAAAATACAAGCCCCTGCAGATTTCTTTCTGACTCCCTGTGTTCATATGAAAGTATTTATGATTTAGAGACACACTGAAAATAATAAAGTGATCTGTGTTTAATACCCAAAAGTTCAAATTGTGTGCAGAAGCACACCAAGACATTGCCTGTTGTCACCACATGATGCTAAGTGATAGTTGTGCTCCCTTCTGTGACTTGCTAGTTTTTTCTAGTTTATGTTACTTCAGTGTTTTTCTGAACATAACATCTGACATCTCTTTTCTTGATAGAAGGTAACGTCCCATTTACCCACCCATACTAATGAACAGACTGGTCCATAGTCCCCACTCCAAAGACATTGATAGCTTCTCCTTTAGGAGCCCCCAACTGCTAGCAGCTGTCCTTACCATGAGAACAACAATAAATGATACCATGTTCTTGATATTATACTTCAGGTATAAAATGGGTTAAATTGACTGATGTAGGGTTGGGCTGGCAATCTAACCACCATTTAGAACATTGTTTTATGGACAGGTTAGTAACTCAATAACATTTGGTACACAGTCCATTAGTAAGTTGAGGGCTAGCTTTATAGATTGTATGAACTATCAAGTTGGTCACATACTGCAATGCCATTTGCTTTCTCATGTCATTGACAGAGAGGGCAATTTTTACAGAGTCATATTTTCTGTAGCTACCATTCACTTAAGCATTTTCTATGTGTCAGACACTATCCTTAGTGTCTCATATATATTCTTTGGTCCTCAAAACAATCTTATGGGGTAACTATTCATGGCTTTCTCATCTTACAGATGAGTAAGCTAAAGCCCAAACAGGTTAAATAACTTGTCCAAAGGTCACATAGCTAGAAAGTTTTTGAGCAAAGGTATAAACTCAAGTTTGTTGGATGCCAGTGTTTGAACACTCATCCAATGTGCTATGCTACTTTCAACTTAGCAATAAGGATACATCCTAAATGAAAGTGCTAGATTGACAAAATGTTTATTTTTGTTTTGTGTAGATATATGTTAAATAAACAGAAATATCTTAGATAATTCATTTTGTCCTCTCTGTACTTCCCAGTATAAGGATACCAAGTCACAATGTAATTGGCCGTTTATAATTTTAAAGCACATGAAACTCTTCATCCTTTGAGCTAACTTCTGGCTTTAAAAGGGTTAGGAGGATTAAAAGTTGCCAGTCAACTACTCTGGGCTTAGAACTGGGTTTAGTTGGCAAATGAAATGTAGCAGATCAAGAAGAATTAATGTAATAGATCTTCCACAGCTTGGCAGTCGGCCTAAGTGGTTCCAACAGTTAGAGAGAGGAGAGACTTGGGAAGTGATGGAGTCTAGCTATAGGAAATTGGCATCAGCAAGAGCAAGGACAGATGGGCTGAAGGTGGGAATTCTATAAGCAGCTAGAGCACAAGGGTAGTATGGTAGCTTGCAACTGGTAGCAATCTTAGGCAGGTTGTTCATGACAGACATATATGGAAACATAAGTAGTGGGATCCAGCCACAGAGACTGGGATTCAGGGGAAAATCTATCCTATGAGGAGGAGTCAAAAGGGAGACAAGGTACTAGACACAGAGGAACTGGCGTAGAAGTAAAAGTAGTAGTAGTAATAATTAGAATAATTACTATATTTATATACAATATTTATATAAAATATAATTTTATATAAGTTAAAAGTTCTTACATTTATATAATAAAAAAGATTATTGACATTCCATTCTATGCCAAACACTAAGGATCCAAAGTTGACTAAACATCCTTGTAATTCTGGAGGAATCACTGTCATTAAAGGAGAAAAGCATGTAAACAAATGACAGTGTAGTGTGGTATATGCACTAATATATCATAATATCCAAAAGACTAGAAGTAACACAGAAGATTAATGAGCTCTATCTAGGAGTCAGAGAACCTTACAAAGAGGAATATAATAGTTGAGTAGCAAGACTCCATCCAAATCAAAGACAGCATAATTGAAACATTCCAGGTGTAAAAATAGCCTCTGCATCAGTCCAGGATGTAAACATCATGGTGTATTTGAGAAAGTAAAAATAAACAGGTATTAGTGAAGCAAAAAGTCTGAGAGGAAATTGGATGAAGTGGTACATGATGAGACCAGAGAAGGTAGGCCTGAAGGCTTTTGTATGCCATAGTGGGGATCTTGGATTTTTTCCTGTTGGTAATGAGGAGTCATTGAAGAATTTTAAGCCAGAAAGCAAATAAACAGAATTTTATTTTTCAAAGACCCCTCTGAAGGTGGCATGGAGATGGATTACAGAGGCAAACCAAAGAGTAAAGAGGAGGGAGAACTTCTACAGATAGATAAGATAGACATATAAGACAAAAAGACTATTAATGATCTGAAGTGTGAGGTAGGGGCTTTGACCTAAGTCCTCCTGCTTCTACAGTAGGGGCTAAGTGTCTCCAGAAAAGGAATATGGTCAATTCCTGGGATAGAGAGCAAAGCAGATATTTCTAATGTTTAATTTCAAAATATCCTTAGTAAACAATGAAGTTTTATAGTATTAACTATATTAACTATGCTGTACATTAGGTCCACAGAACTTAGTCATCTTATAGCTGAAAATTTATACCCTTTAACCAACATCTACCTATTTCCGCCACTCGCCAGCCCCTGGCAAACACTCTTTTACTCCCTGTTTCTATGAGTTCAACTTTTTTAGATTCCATATATAAGTGAGATCATGTGGTATTTAGCTTTCTGGGCCTGGCTTATTTCACTTACCATAATGTCCTCCAAGTTCACTCATGTTGTTACAAATAACAGGCTTGTTTACATGACATCTGATAAGAGCAGATTTTAAATATCTTTACTACAAACATACATACCCAGTGATAAGTATGGGTGGTGATGGGTATGTTAACTGATTTTAGTAATCATTACACAGTGTATATCAAATCATATGTTGCGTGCTTTGAATATATACAATATATACATTTTTTATTTGTCAATTAAATATTTTAAAATTAAAAAAGAATATATATATATATATATATATCCATAGTAAATAGCATGTTTAAAAACATACCCTTGAAGCATACCTAAGAGGGAAAGGAACTGTTTTCCTCTCCCTGTCCCTTCTTTCAAATCCATATCGAAGTGCAAAAGCTTTTGTTTATTGCCCTTCCACTCACCCACAAATAATATCAGTTTTAATCACCTGGTGCAGGAGTCTATCAATTGTAGATAGCCAAATGGTATATATTTTAGGTTTTATAGCCCATAGGGTCTCTATTGCAATTACTTAGGTCTGCCAGTATCGTGCAAAAGCAGTCATAGACAATAGTTAAACAAATCAATGTGATTGTGTTTCAGTTAAACTTTGAGATGGCTGGATTTGGCCTGTGGGCCATATAGTTTGTCAACTCTGCCTGATGGATAACCTTGTGTGTACTTTGGGAAGAAGGGTGGAGAGAGGTACAGAAAAACATAGATTTTAAAACAAGCACATGATGTAAAATCCTTTAATGACTCCAGTAGGATAGAGCGCAAGCTCCCTAGCATAGGAAGGATCCTTATCCACAATGAAGTATATTCATCTTACAAAAAACAGGAGTATGTTTAGAATAGAATACAATGCTATCTGCTACATTTACTTCATATATACACACACATACACATATATACATATACATATGTGTGTGTATGTGTGTGTGTGTGTGTATATATATATATATATATATATATGGTTTTTGTTAAGAACATATTTGCTTTTTTCCTCTTACCCTAACATACTAAGCTCAGCTTAAATTTTGACATTTTTACTTATGTTATTATTAGTAATAATGATAATAGCTACTGTATTCTCTGCCGTTTTATGGATGAGGAAGCTCAGAAGTTGAGTAAGCATTTCCAAAATCACATAGCTGCTAATTAGCAGAGCCAGCATTTGCACAGAGACTATATCTACTCAGAATCCATGAGCTTAAACACCTTAAAGCCCAGGGGAGGAGGGATGTTATATCAGAAAAGCACATAGTTGAGCAAACAATGAAGAATTTTCTTGATTTGGGCAATGACTTACTGAAATTATTATATGTTAAATTAGACTGTATGAATATCACAAATAGGCTATGTGGGAAATTATATCAAGAATATCAAGGGAAATTGAATTTCTGTTGATGTATAGAACAAATGTGCTTAAATTCTCAACAATCTGAACTTGATAATGAACCTGATCAAGTACTGCCATCTTTGAAAAGTAGACCTGAATGCATGTATAGAATTAGAGGGAGAAAAGTCATAGAATTATGAAAGCAGACTTTTAGAAGTTCATGTATTCTAGTAAAGTATTATTACCTGCTTAAAGAATTTTTTAAGGGTGACAGTTAATTTTTTTAGATAGTGCCAGAAATGCACATACATTTTAAAGCTGATATCCCCAAACTGTTTTGTCTTTTCTTCCCGGGCCAGGCTGAAACAATTTTCCAGCAAATCTGCCCCAATGAAGACTTCTGTCCCCCTCCACCAAACCCTGAAGACATTGTCCTTGATGGAGAGAGTTTACAATCAGAGGCTTCAGAATCCAGTGCCATACCAGAGGCTAACTCAGAAACTCCCAAGGAAAGCACAAACTTGGGAAACCCAGAGGAGTCCCCTGAATAATGTATATACAACAAACTGGAAACCCCACTTTGGATATTCCGTCTGGCCTCAGAGTCTTGATGGAAGGAATGTTTGAAAAATATTAGAAAGCAGCAGCCAGTTGCCATACAGAACTACAAGGAAAAACAAAATCATTGATATCCAAAAGGGGATTTTTGTTAAGGAGGACATTCCAAGAACACAGAACACTTGTAAAGCACATTGATTTGCCTGTTTTACGATACCAAACCTGTGGGATTAGCAGATAAAAATTTTAAAAGGATTCCCAGGAATAGAGCTATGGATATGAAATTTACCGTATGCATTGTTAATCATTCTATTGAATAACAACAACTTTTGCTTGCCACTTTGGATATTTGTTTGACAGCCATATCTTCAGAATCAATTCACGTATTTCCTTTGATTATTACAATTATATTTTTCTTAAGGATATGAACATCATGATATAATGATAAAAGCATACATAGATTCATCTGAGATAATCTTAAGTATCATGATCTAGGCAAGAGCCTATGCTTAAAACACAGATTTGTTTTCTATGTTAAGAATTATTGAAAATGCTAATTTTGAGGTGTTTAGACATTTTTTACAAACATCAATAGTATTTTTTAATATTAGCAAGTATTCACATACTTGTATGTGAATTATTTCCACACTGGGAAAGCTCAATAAGGAAGAAATGAAAGAATGAAGGGAAAGGTTTTCATAAGCTCATTGGTATTTAAATATTCTATCTAGTCAAGTAACTAGAGTACTAACCTAATTGTCTACAGGCCTAATTTAGTCCTGGCTATTCTATTGCTATTGTATTAGGCAATACAATCCAATTGATGATATTAGACAAATTATTTAACTTCTGAGCCTCAGTTTCTTCCTATGTAAAGTGGAAATAGTAGTATCCTCTGTACTTTATGAGAATTATTATAAAGATAAATGCAATACCATTCTTAGTATGGTTTTGTAGAAGAAAAAATTTTTCAGAATTTTCCCATTGACTTGGAGATGAGTATCAAAAATCTCATGCAGCAAATAATTGCTGGCTGTCAACTTCTGAACAAAATAGATCACAGCATTTTTATTGTATTAAGCTTTTTAAATGAAAATTTATTTCTTAAATGAGTATTTTAGTCTTATGGACCAGTAAACGTAACAAATGGAATTGTGCTTTTGAAATCTTACTAAAGAAAATAGTCTATAAATTCTTCATATTCCTTTTCTGGTAGGTAAACTGAAACCACCAAGGACTTAGAATAGAGTATGACAGTTGGTAAACCCTAATATACACTCCACATAAAAATGTTAGGGCTGTACATAGTCAGTAAATCTAGTTGCAGTGACAGTGCCTATATTTAAATTTTCTCAAATGCCAAGCTCTGATGATCTACTTTTTCTGAGCAATAGTTTACACTTATAGCTGCTTGTAAATAAATAAACAAACTTGAAGTTTCTCGTCTCAAAGTCTAGCCAGTATTGCCTGTTGGGAAGTCATGGATAAAGTGGAAAGCTCCATAGTCCTTACACATTGCAGCTGCATCTTTCAGAGAAGATCTTAAAAGAAACTAGCAGGTCACAGATTCATGGAACATTGAAAGTACCAAGCAATGTTGCTCTTGCTTCACTTATCAAATCCCCGAAGATATTGTTGAATCCAGAAAATAAGGAAAACTTCCCAGCCTCTCAGGCTGTTCCTCCCTTGTATCTTTAGTCCTCTTTCCCTTTCTTCCCCTTTTATAATGTCACACAAATCAGGGACAGTAGAATCTCATTATAACCTACTTTGCTACAGGAATTCAGATCTTTCTTAAGTCAAATCATGTTTCTTGAAACCTGTCAGGGCATGTACTAAATGCCTCATACATATCTATGAGTATAGCAGGTATAGTCCTGCCCCTCAATACCAGCAATATTAAAGTTTCCAATAGATGAAGGCATTGAGTCTGAATACAATTGTGGTAAATTGTGTTAATAAAGATATTGTACTTTGTTATAGTGGTAGAGTTAAGGCCTCTTGAACACAGCATTCACATTTATGTAATCAGACAATCAGAGTAGGCCTAGAATAACAAGAAAAATTCTGATGGTCTTACTGCAGCTGTCCATATGTAGCACAATGAAGAAAATAGTTTGTTGTCTCATGCTGCAGGCCATATTTTACCCTGTTTTATCCATCAACCAGCATCAGAATCTTCTGAGTTATTTATTAAATACTGTTGAAATGCTTAAAAGCTCCTGAATATGATTAGTGATGATTAAAATATTGCACAACTGCTAAAAACCTTGTTAGAGAACTTTAGATATTTCCTACTGCCTCAGAATGTAATAGAAATTATTCTAAGAGCTTTCTCTTCCACTATCTTAATTACTACAAATAAGTGTTTTTGTAGTTTTAAGTGAAAAAAAAAAAGAAAAACCTTTTGATTGTAAAACCTTAAGCTTGCAGTCATATGTTGTACCTAGTGCAAAATTTTCAGTAGCTAAATTAAAATTTTGAAAATTGCTATTATCAAAGAATTTTGATTCATGTATTTAAAATGTTTATACATGCTTCTTATTAACCAAAAATGGTAATACCACTCAGTTTAATGATCAGTATGAGAACCAATAACTAATCCTGTGTTGCTACTGTATTTTTTATAATTGGTGTACCTGCCCAGAAATATATATATACTGTATACATTTAAGATCAATTTATATATTTTTCTATAGGAAAATGAAGTTACAATTTTCTTCATCTCAAATAATATTTTGTTGTCCATAGTAAAATGGCCACATTAATGGGTAACTTATAGAATTCTCCTAGTTTCTGAGATTGGCAGCTCTTTGTCTAAAATAATGGCCATATAAATGATTAACTTTTGTCACTGCCGTTGTTCCTTGGATTGGCAGCCCTTTGCCTAAAGTCCTAAAGACTTCCAAAAAAAAGTGTTGAAATTTAATTGCTAAATAGTAATGATCCTTTAAAGTATGAATTAGAATAATTTTCTTGTGAATAAGTTATTTACTGCTGTTGGTATTGAATAATTTGGTTTTTTACTCAATTTTCTTATATGTATTTCAAAAAGCATGAATATATGATTATTCATAATTAGCACACTGTAACAGTTATCAGAGGAAATAAAGATTTTCAATATCTTTCACGCATGGTTTCATTTTTTTAATATTAAAAGTTTATATATGTGCCAAGAAATTGAAGATTGTCTGAACCCGATTTATTTTTTGAGATTAGACTATTAAATACTCAGTTAATTGTCTAGCTGTATATTTGGTTTTGTTTCAAGGAATCTGCCAACTGTGTTAAGTTTGTGAGAAAGGCTATCAAATAATACATTGATTTGATTTCCATAGTGAACTGTTCTAGATGCCTGCATTAATGTCAATATCAAAAGTGAATGAGACCTTTTTCTGTTTTATTTTTTTCTGTATATGCTTTTTCTTTTTTTTAATTTCAGCATATTACAGGGGTACAAATGCTTAGGTTACGCATATTGCCTTTGCCCCACCTGATTCAGAGCTTCAAGTGTGTCCATCCCCCAGACGGTGCGCACCGCACCCATTAGGTGTGAATATACCCACCTCTCCTCCCCCCTCCCACCTGCCCGACACCCGATGAATGTTAATACATATGTGCACATCAGTGTTGATCAGTTAGTACTTTTTTTCTGTTTTAAATCAGTGCTGTTGGAGGCTGTGAGGCATGGGCTATGACTTTACAGTACATTAATTGCCTACAAACTATTTTCACATCTCAGAGGATAAGAATCTGAAATGTTTTGCATATTTATTTGGTGAAGGAGAACCTGAAATGTTTTCCTCTGAGGGATTTGAGTCCCCAACAACTTACTTGCAATAGACATGAGATTACTGCTGTTATTTTTATGCAGAAATCATTAAACTATGATTTGTTATTGAATCAACTAAAGCGGACTGACATTTTCTGTCAATTTAAAGTGGTTTCTAAAGCTCCTGAGTCAGGACACATTCAAAAGATAACGGGAATCTGAAAACTGGCAATTTATCTGTGAGATTATTAATCAAGTTTAAGAAAGATAAGGTTAATTGAATTTTTAAACAAGTGGTCGTATTATCCTTCAAGCACCTAGGAGCTCATACAATATTCAAAATATTTTTTCTTAAACAAGTGCTTTAATGTTTGAATTCCCTTCTTTAATGAAGGCTCTTTAAAACACTGGTTAAGTGGTTTAGCACTTAACATCTCAAGTCTCATTTTGAAGGCTGCTTTTCTTTCCTTTAATGCACAGTTTAGCTGTGGGACTGCAATAAGATGCCCTTGCCACATCTGATTTTTCTGGTGATGACTCTCAGGACCATTTAACAGGTAATCATTAGAATTTGGATCCTGGTAGAGTGTAGGGTCATTTCGCCTTTCACTGCAGGGGATTTATGCTGGTAACTTCTATTAATAGGAATTACATGTGTAAATCTGCCTCCTATCAATGAGACAGTTGGCCCCTAAAAGAAACATTTTTTGGAGGTGGATACTGTAACTGATCTAGAAGCATCAGTGAATCGTTCTATTCAGTATTTTCATATGTGGTAAAATATAGCAAAAGCACACCAATTCACTAGAGGATTTGTTCGAGAGCATAAAAAGATGAAATACTAGCTCTTAATTTTTTATTTCCATTTCTAGGATATATTAGAAACTGTTGCTCTTTTTAGAATTATCGACAGACCCACAGTCAACATCATAACGAATAGGGAAAAATTGAAAGCATTCCCACTTAGAACTGTAACCAGGCAAGGCTGCCCACTATCTCCACTTCTATTCAACATAGTGTTGGAAGTCTTGGCTATAGCAATCAGACTTGAAAGTAGAATTAAAGGTATCCAAATTGGGGCAGAAGAGATCAAACTTTCACTGTTTGCTGATGATATGATATTATATTTAGGAAATCCTAAGGATTCAACCAAGAGACTCTGGAATTGATAAATGAATTTAGTAAAGTTTCAGGATACAAAATCAATACACACAAATCAAAGACATTCCTATACGCCAATAACAGTCAAATTGAGAACCAAATCAAAGACTCAATACCCTTCACAATAGCAACAAAGAAAATGAAGTACCTAGGAATATACTTAACTAAGGAGGTAAAAGACCTCTACAGGGAGAACTATGAAACACCAAGGAAGGAAATAGCAGAGGACATAAACCGGTGGAAGACCATACCATGTTCGTGGGGTGGCAGACTCAACATTGTTAAAATGTCCATACTACCCAAACTGATCTACAGATTCAATGCAATACCTATTAAAATCCCAACATCATTTTTCACAGATATAGAAAAAATAATTTTACGCTTTGTTTGGAACCAGATAAGACCCCATATATCAAAAGCAATTCTAGGCAATAAAAACAAAATGGGAGGTATTGATATGCCAGATTTCAAACTATACTACAAAGCTGTAGTGATTTAATCAATTTCGTATTGGCACAAAAATAGGAATATTGACCAGTGGAACAGAACTGAGAACCCTGATATAAAACCATCCACATATAGCCATCTAATCTTCCACAAAGCAGACAAAAACATAAGCTAGGGAAAAGAATCCCTATTCAATAAATGGTGCTGGGGAAACTGGATAGCCACTTGTAGAAGGCTGAAGTAGGATCCACACCTTTCACCTCTCACAACAATCTAATCACGCTGGGTAACAGACTTAAACCTAAGGTATGAAACTATTAGAATTCTAGAGTAAAATGTTGGAAACACTCTCCTAGACATTGGCCTAGGCAAAGAATTTATGAAGAAGACCCCAAAGGCAATCACAGCAGCAACAAAAATAAATAAATGGGACCTGATCAAATTAAAAAGCTTCTGCACAGCCAAAGAAAGTCATGAAAGCAAACAGACAACCTACAGAATGGGAGAAAATTTTCGTATCCTACACATCTGATAAAGGGCTGCTAACTAGAATCTCCTTAGAACTCAGGAAAATCAGCGATAAAAAATCAAACAACCCTATCAAAAAGTGGGCAAAGGACATGAACAGAAACTTTTCAAAAGAATACAGAATAATGGCTAACAAACATGAAAAAATGCTCAACATTTCTAATCATCAGGGAAATGCAAATCAAAACCACGATGAGATATCACTTACCTCCAGTAAGAATGGCCTTTATCAAAAAGTCCCCAAACAATAAATGTTGGCATGGATGCAGAGAGACAGAAACACTCCTACATTGCTGGTGGGACTGCAAACTAGTTCAACCTCTGTGCAAAGCAATATGGAAATACCTTAAAGCGATACAAGTAGATCTACCATTTGATCCAGTAATTCCACTACTGGACATCTACCCAAAAGAACAAAGGACAAACTACAAAAAAGACATCTGCACTCGAATGTTTATAGCAGCACAATTCACAATTGCAAAGCTGTGGAAACAACCCAAGTGTCCATCGATCCATGAGTGGATTAATAAAATGTGGTATATGTATACCATGGAGTACTATTTAGCTCTAAGAAACAATTCCGATATAGCACATCTTGTATTTTCCTGGATAGAGTTGGAACCCATACTACTAAGTGAAGTATCCCAAGAATGGAAAAACAAGCACCACATTATACTCACCAGCAAATTGGTATTAACTAATTACCTAAGTGGACACATAAGAACTACATTAATTGGATATTGGGCAGGTAGGAGGGGGTAGGGGGGTGGGCATATACATACATAATGAGTGAGATGTGCACTGTCTGGGGGATGGTCACGCTTGAAGTTTAGACTTCTTGGGGGGAGGGCGGCAAGGACATTATATGCAACCTTAATATTTATGCCCCTATAATATGTTGAAATAAAAAAAATAAAAAGAATTATCAACATAGCATCTTTTATTTTTAAAAGAGTAAAATAAGTTTGCCCAGGTTTTCACTGAAGTCACATTTTAATACTCCAGTACTACCCTTAAAGCTCTGGAAATGAACATTTTAAGGTTATATAATAATTTCCAGTTTCATAACAATCAAGGAAATGCAGACCAACCCAGGAGGTATATTTTGCTTATCAAGTTGATAGAATCAAAAAGATTGATAACAGTCAGAGGAGAGAAAGGCACTATCATACATTGTGGGTAAGAGTATATAAATTGGTTAAAGCCTTTTCAAAGGGTAATTTGGCAGAACCTGTCAAAACTTCAAATGCAAATAGCCTTTGACTAAGCATTTCCACTTCTAAAAATCTAGCTTATGGAATATTTTATATATGTACACAAAATATAAGATTCCACACTATAGCATTTTTTTAAATTTTGGAAATAAATGTTCATTAAAAACAGTCTGGCTTAAATTGTTAATGCATGCATTTAATAGTTTTGAATACCATGTACTTGCTAAAGAAAGTGAGGTGCATCTATATGCAATGTATCTCCAACATGTTTAAAAAGCAAGTCACAGAGTAAGTATTTTAATTTGTATAAAAATTAAAACATGCATATATGTGTACATCATAGGAAATGTTTAGAAAGTATACATACCAAACTGGTAACTAGTTATGTTGGAAAAAGAGATTAGGATTAGTAGGAGGAATAAAAGGATACTTCTACATATTTTATTTTTTTGGTTTTAGAACTTTTTATAAGATAATGTATCACTTTATTAAAAATTTTAGATTAATCTGTTTAGTAATCTAACACCAAATTCCTGGGTAGTATATAGGACCTCCAAAAATAGTGACTGCGTATTTTGGATTACATTAATGTTTTTATAAGGTACAGTTAAGATATGACAGGTAATAATAAGTGACTAGATAAACTATGATACATCTATTACAATGGAGTACTGTGCAATTGTAAAATGGAATTAGGAAGCAAATGCTGTAGTACAATCTCTAGGATATAACATTAAGTGACACAAGAATTCTATACACAGAAGTATGTGTATATTTACATTTCATGTAAGAAGGGAAGGAATATTAAAAAGCATACATATTTACATGGTTACCTCTTGGGAAAGGGAAGAAGCAGGGCACAGAGATGGAAGGTAGATGTCTTTGTACCTTGTTTTGATTTTGATTTTGATAGTTTTGATTTTGAAGTCAAAAACAATTCCTAAAATATCAAAACAAACTGAAACCATTGAATATAACCATGTACTGTGCTGTTGGCATAACTATATT